GCTACAGTTGTAGCAGGTGGTTGACCAAGTGTTGTTTGATGATTGATTTTGTAATATTGAGAAGTAAAGCTAGTATGATATTTGCCACAAAGATATGTAGCAATAATAGGTTGCTGAGGAATGACAAAATAATGTTGTTGTTTTTTGAGTACTTCACATGCAGTAGATCATGCATCAGACAGTAAAACATGAAGAGATTGAGGTTTGTCTTCATGCATCCCAACACCGAAACGGTTTTGGTATTTGGAGTAGTAGTAGTCGATATCATAGGAATCTGGTTCCGATCTCGGTTCTCATTTACTACTTTATCTATTCTACAAGCAACTTAAAAAGATACCACTCAAGGATTTCATTCTAATGTTTTCAATTTTTAACTTTACTAATTGTAAAGTCAAAATTTTTCTTAGCCACTAAAAAGTTTTTTTTAAATATAAAAAAACATTGCTGTAAATCTGCTATAATAACTATCCGGGTTGTTATTAAAGAGTAATATCCCAGATATGCTTAAAAACTATAATAATACTTCACTATTATATTAGTGCACATAATAAAAAAATTAGTATATTTTTATTATTAATTTACTGGGCTAATAATGTACTAACTAGTTACAAATTATCTCTTAACAAAAATCATATGAGAGAGTTGAGCTAGGATATTATATTAATAATAATTTTTATTTTTTAAATATTACAAAATAAATAATAATCTAACTCTAATTATAACCTATTATAAAAGTATTAATGCTAATCTAACTTATCTTTAAATTCTATTCTAATTTTAACCATACTTTTAATCTAATTACAAAGTATAACCTAATAAAAATACAATATTTAACAAAATCAAGATCTAACAAAATATAAAACTAATAATGCAAAATCTAACAAAGTAAAATCTAATAAAGCAAAATTCAACAAAGTAAAATCTGACAAAGCAAGATTTAATGAGAAAAGAATTGATGAAGCAAGTTAGGTCTAACAAAGCAAAATTTGACAAAATATGTTCTAACAAAATAAAAATTAATAATAAAATTTGACAAAACAAGATCTAACAAAGCAGGATCTAACAAAACAAGATCTAACAAAAACCAGCAAAGCAGAACTTATACAAGAAGTATTAGTTTTATTTAAAAAAAATTAAACCTATATAAAAAAGCATCTATTATATTTCCAGTTTTAGATTTCTGAAGCTAACAAAGAATTTATACAAAAAAAAAGTAGTGATAGTTTATTTAAAAAAAAAACAAAAACTATATAAAAAAATATCTATCACTAAGTTCTGTGCCAAATTTTAAATTTACAAAAATAATAAATATTAGTATAGTTAGAGATTTTACTAAAAATAGATATTAAAGATCACACCTTTTATAATGTAAGAATGTCAATTAAAAGTTTTTAGATTTCATAGCATATAAATATTAACCAATCAAATTAATTAAAAACTTATATATAAGCAAATATATTTTATTATTAATGAAGCTATTAATAGGGTTTTACCTTTTATTAAATATTATATCTTCTTTACTTATAATATTTGATTTACAGTTTTATACTATTAAACAATATTATTTATATATATCATATTGTTTAAAAATATAACCTGGGATGCAAATCACTAACTCTTCCCAACGATCACTTGTACCAAGTTTTCTCTAAAAACAATTGCACTTTTCTCAATAT